TAAATATCCTTATAAAAAGGTTTACAGTAGAATTGCTAATTTTACCGTACTCAAACTATCCCTGAATCTTACTTGTGAAGGCCTCAGACAGTGTTTTTGATCTTACAATGATTTTCACATCCACTTCATGCTGTGTAACAACACTCTGCACCTGATGTGACATGTCTGTCAGCAATTAGTCACTTTTACATGGAATAAATATGAGGCGGGCTAAATTATTCTATATCAGATTCTGCATTTATTACAATACAATTTACTGACTTTTTTATTTAAAGTCAGTACTAGACTCTACATTAAGTATCCCTAAGTCAGCAAACAGGGTACTGGATGTTTCTTTTTCATATGACAGTATGAAAGGACTTTTACCTTTTTTGACTTGGAGTTTGTCACAAAAAAGCTTTGCAATAAGCTGTCTAATTCATCTCTAAAAAACAAAAAGCTGTATGGTCAAAGAAATCTGAAATGACTACGTTAAAAGCCGACGCAGCACAGAAAAACTAATTGTTAGTTTAGGGAAACAAAAAAGATTGATTAAGCAGAAACGATGAAATGATTTAGTTAAAAAAAACATTTAAACATCTTGTTATCTCTCTATTTCCAGGTTACGCTTATAGGACATGCCAACTTTTTCACTTGCTAGCACAAGCTTTACAAGACTATTTTGAGGGTTGACATGACAGGAACTTAATAGTGAAGCTTTTTCTTGTCCAGGCAGAACTTTTTAATTGAATTCACGTACGAGCTGACTTAATCAAGCTACGCAAACACACAACACCAGAGAGGAGAAACCGATGCTATCTACATATAACTGCAGCAGCTGAACAGGATGGGACCATGACGAAGCTAATTGTAGTTTTCTTGCAATGTTTGATGACTCAGCATCTCACGCTGACAAAGGAGTCCCAACCTTCATTTCAATCCCACAATAATAGCATAACTGCTTATTAGCATAACCCCTGTTGGCTGCAAGCAGCCATCTGCACTTACATCATGGGAGAACTGATATGGCACCAGCCATGTAATGAGCTGTCCCATGACCTCAGCTTGGTAATATATTCCCTTGATGGAGAGGAAAACCTATGAGGAATAAAAGCAAAGCGTTTAGATAATGTTTAAAAAAACCTTAACGCCCCCGCCCTCCATTTGGTCTGCAGGAAAAACTGTCACCTTTCTGAGCGCACGAGATGCAATCACGTAGTTCATCCACTCCACAGTGAGGCGCCTGCACAGCTGGATTGTCTGCACATGGCATTTCCCCGTTCGGGCGAATGTGGAGAACAAAAAACACATGCAGAGGGCGTCGTCGATGTCACGCAGGGCGTCGATAAAGGTGGGGTACCTGCCAAAAAAACAGCAAAACCAGTAAGAAGCTAAATGCACTTGCTGTAGAGAGTGGATCTCAGATGTACACACCTGTCAAAATACCAGAGTAGGAAGATGTAAAAAAAAAAAAAAAAAAAAAAGTTAAATCAAAAATCATTTCATGTTTTAATTGGATACAATATAATCCAATTGAAATCCCAATTTTTTTGAAAGGGAATAAAAGTTCAAAAACCTGGAAGCTTAAGTGTACACATCCTTAAACCAACACATTTGAAGCATCTTGTGCTTACATTTCAGCATGCAGGTGCGGGTTTTAATGTTTTTATCTTTTTTAATCTTTTTCAAAATGTCTTTCTCACTGTTTTTTCAATGTCACATGCTGTTTTTATTTTAATTATGTGAAGCACTTTGAAATGCCTTGCTGCTGAAATGTGCTATACAAATAAAATTTGATTGACTGATGCAGTGTTCTCTGGTGACAATCACCTTGAACTGTAAATATCTCTCAGCTATGCCTTTCAAAACTTCTCCAAATCTCTCAGGTTGTTGGAACAAGTCTTGTCAACAGAACTTCTTAAGCGAGTCCACAGATTTCTCCCAGGTTCTGGCTACAACATCCCAAACTTTATGAAGCTCTTCTTTTGCAGATCTGGATACTTAGACCAACAGTAATGCCAGAAAATGTAAAAGTCTGTGTCTTTAGCTTTACAGCAGACAGATTTTGATCAAAAGCTGAATGGCATCTGGAACCATCACTATCCAACTATCACTAAAAGATTTCCATAACCTAAAACAAAAAATTGCAAACACCTATAAAATTGTTGCTCATAATTAAAGAGGACCTAGAAACTGTACAACTCTGCCATCTGCTGACTAGAGTTAGTTCCTCAGGACCCAAGTTTGCTAAACTATATAAAATCTAATAACTATAAAGTAATATAAGCTACATGTTATATGGAAGAAAATTGGCATATGGAGGTGCATGTGCAGATTGTTTAACTTTCAAGAAAAATAGCACAGTGAAAACATATTTTGCAGGTTTGGAAAATAATGTTTTTATGACTATAAATATATAATTTATATTTGTCTACTTAATAAATCAAGAACAGCTAACAGGTGTTGCAACAGATAAAATATAGACAAAGATCTCAAAGCAGGCAGGGTTTAATGATGCATGAATCAAGACTTTTTAAAGCAGCATAAAAGACTGAAGCCAAAGTTGAGGACCAGAGACAAAGGCTTGCAAGATTGGTTGAAACTTATCTACTTGGAAGAATTATTTATTTACACAAATAAGGCAGAGAATGTATAAGACGGAGAATAGGGAGCAGAAATATGGCAAAATATTCTCTAAACTGATTAGACAACATCTTAAACCTTCAGCTGAATACAGATTGTTTAGAAATGGAAAGACAGCAGTTCAAAACTGAGACTCTGCAAGCAATAGTGAGGCATGTTGGATGGCTCATAGCTCTCCAGTCTAAGCAGAATAACTGTTTTCTGTTTTGCTTAAACTTTTCTAAGCCATCTCTTTTTTTTTTTGTCCTTTTCCTTAAAACTGATAAAATCTAATATAAGCTGACACCCCAGATCGAACCTGCTTTATCCCCCCACAACGAGTATGGAGAATAACTTTCCTACCTTTCTTTCACAATGTGGTCCAATTTATAGGCCGGCTTGTTCTCTTTCAGTCTTTCAACAGCAGACCACTCTGTTTTTCCATAAGCCCTCCTTAGTTTACGCACAAAGATCTGTTGGGGGAAAAAAAAAACACTTTAAGGGTAAATTTGCCGCTTTGTGTGGGGGCTTTCAATTCAATACGATTACTGAAAACGATTGTTAATGTCAGACTCAGTAGACAAGTAGAACACAAAACATGTTTTGAACTGAGTATTTTTTTTATTGATAAATACAGTCATAAGAATAAAATTAATGATAGATTTTAAGCTTGAGGCTTGTTGAAAACTTGGACTTCATTTAAATACCTTGTACTCTCTGAACTTGGACACAATTGGCTCATGCAGCAGAAACCTGATGTCTTTGAGCAGGTAGAAGGTCCTTGGAGCAGTGGAGCCTTTGTTCACCTTCTTCTTGTGTTTTGGCTCATGTGGATAAATTCCTTTAAGGATGCACAGCCGCCTAAAATTCAGCGGGAAGGATTTTTAAAATATATTTCTGGAGAGGTTTATTAACTACATGCCCATCTAAAATGTAATGAAGGAACAGAAAATGGTTTACAGATAGATAACATCTCACGGTCATCAACCTTAATAGTTAAGAGGGCTTAATAAAGCAAAATTAAAAATAATTAAATAAAAAGTGAACTTTACCACATCAGTGGATGGTTGTTTAATTTATCAATGTCAACTGTCTTCTATTTATTTGATGATTTCAGTCAGTTTATTGTGTAAATCAGAAAGCCTAATGCCTTTTTTATTGTCAATGTCAATCAGAAGAAGTCCCTCTTCAGCACTGGAGTATGTATCTCAATGAAATTTAACTGAACGTAAGTTATGGAGCTCATGAAAGACAGTTGAAGCTCTGACATTTTCACACTTTTTATTAAACTAATGCAATTAAGAGGTGTTAAAAACAGAAAGGGATCGTGTCACTGCTGGACTCCGCCGCAGAGTGTTTAAGAACATGCTGAACATCACATACCTGAAGTCAGGGAGGCTCAGCATGAGCTTCTTTCGTGCTCTGTTCCTGGTGATGTAGTTGGTGGCAGAGCCCCGCTCATACTACAAAACAATAGAAAGTCATCTTTAACTCATTTAATCCGTATGCTCCTGATCAGACTCAAGAGAAACTTTACTTTCGTATACAACTCAGACTAGTCGACGGTTTGTGATTCTTAAAACAAACTTTAGCTAGCCCTGCTAGCCAGCTACCCAGATAGTTGTTTATTTTAGCGTTATTGAGTCTGGCAGAAACGCTTACCTTTTTCTTCTGAAGACCCCCCATTTACAGACGAGCTGTCGCTCCACAGCACTGAAAGAAAATCTTATTTACGGAAACAAATAACTAGCTAACAGATGGACGCTTCGCCGCTGCTACTGCTGCACGTGTTGTCTGACATGCGCACGGAGTTACACCGAAACGTAAGCAGCAGGACCCAGGGGTTGACCGTTATCCGCCTGAACGTAATATTACGTATAAATAACTTTAGTGTTTTAACGATGCTCTGTGGTAAAGTTATGCATGTACTGAGATAAAACCTATTCGTAATATTAAACAATGAATAAAAAAAAAAATTTTTTAGTTTCAGAAAAAATCTAAATATCATTTAAAGTTAATCGATTTAGATGTGCGTGTGTGTCACTTTTTCCCTCTGAAACTAGCCCTTGTATATTGTTCACATTTCTTAGGTCAAAATTATCAATGATGGTTAATTTTACTATTTTAAACTTGCTCATGGATGTTAGACCGTGTCCATTTTGTAAAGTTTTATGTTTCCGACTGGATAAAAATTACAGTGATTTTTAAAATATTTATACTGATGATTTGTTGAGTTAACCTTGTACTGCTAAGAGGTGGTGTAGGAAGACAAAAATGAATTGAATTTAATAAATGAAAAAGAATAATAATAATAACAAAAGTTTTATTGACATTTTATTTTTTGTGTGATCTTATTTGTCATTTGTATCACAAGAGCTTATACAGGGATCATAAACATTACAATCTCTAACACCAAAAAATTCAGCCCCACCCCTTTTCCCACTCTCCCTGACTCACTGATGCCTCACATGCTTGAGAAAAATGCCAGCAGATACAGAGCAGCATCAGATAGAGAGAAAAATAAATAATGTAGAAGGGTGGAGGAACATCATCCAAAAACCAGCCAGAAGCTCATCTTTTAAAATGAGTGAAGGATTATATACAGCTGTCATGGGGATCCGGGACTTTCTAAAGGAGTATTTTAATGGTTTCTGGGACTATGAGACTCCTAAGATGATGGTGATTAAGAACAGACCTCTTGGAGTGATTTACCGAGCTGTCCAGTTTCTAGTGATAACCTATTTCATCTGGTAAGTTGTAAGCAAGTTTGTTTATTTTCCTTATAAGTAGTAACATTTCAAACAAAGGATTTTCTGGTTTATCTCTTTAAGTATTCTTGAAAGGATTAAATACAGAGTAAAGCGCAATAAAATATCATAAACTTTGAAAGTGTTCCCGCTAATCGCCTATGTTTGAAGCAGACATTATGTTTTAATTTAATTAAATATATAAAACAAATAATAACCAGTGTGAACAAAACTTTCAGAAAATTAAACAAGTTTTTAAATACAAAAATCCATAAAGTCTCAGAGAACAAATTATTTCTTTGTAGTCTTAGTTCTAAGGGTGTTATCTTGTTTTCTTGGCTTTAGTTTGGTGGGGCTAAACAGATCTTGAGTAACCTGACACCCTTAATAAAATTTTACATCACAGGAGATGTTTCATTGTCTCCGTCTGTTCTGTCATCCATGAAGGTATGTTTTTATAAGTCAAAAAGCGTACCAGCAGAGCGAGACCCACCCAGAGAGCTCTGTTTACACTCTTATTAAGGGAAAAGCAGAGCATGGCGATGATGTCCTGGACAACGTAGAGTATGCTCATCCCCCAGAGGTGCATCATGTCCTTTGATTCTGTCAAAAAATAACAACTACTTTATTGATCAGATTACTGTAACAGACATTTTTAACTTTTCTTCATAGGGAGTTGACGTAATCAGCGCAACACTGAGAAGAGAATTCACTTATGATCAGAGGCAAGGTACCTGCCCTGAGGTGAGAGGAAAGAAAGAAAGAAAATATGCCTGTATCAAATGGGTTACAGCTGCACTTTTATCCTGTTTTGCTTTCTTTTCTTCCTCTGCAGCATTTCAGTGTTGACAACGCCAACTGTACGACAGACTCTGACTGTCTTCAAGGCTTACCAAACTTTGATAGTCATGGTAAAGTTGTGACTTCTCACTACATCTGTCATCATCTTGGTTGCTTCATATTTGCCCCATCATCTGTTGTAATTTAAACACAGGCATTAGGACGGGCAGATGTATTCAGTACCACAACCACCCTTTCAAAACTTGTGAGATCAAGGCCTGGTGCCCTATTGAAGAGTACGCTGTAGTACGGTAAGGCATTGGACCTGTAATCTGCATGGTTCAGTTACACAGTTCTATATGTTTTGCAAATTTTTGTTGTTGTTGTAGAACAAGACAATAAATATATAGCATTCACATGTAAGAAAAAGAAAAATGTAAGTTTTTTTTTTTAGAAATAAAGATGCAAAAGTGTTGATTAACATACAGCTTGATTTACTCATAATTATATCCAGTACAGTATTTTTTTATTTCAGAAATCAACTAATTAGTAAATAGACACGGCCTGTTTTTGATTTAATCTGAGTTTATATCAAAAAATGAGGGCTTGGAGGTTTGTTAGAGAACATTAGACCAAGGAACACAGCAGACAGGTCAGGGGTAAAGATGTGGAGAAAGCAGGATTACTTAACAAAACAATATAGCCGACCTATAAAACATCTCACAGAGCAGTGTCAACAAAAACTGAAGAAGTCCTCTGGAATCGATTGACTGGGAATGGAGAGCAATAATTAGAGAACCAGTCAGGAGGCAAGTGGTAACTGTGGAGGAAGAGCCCAGCTCATGAGGGAGAATCTGTTGAAATGTTTATTCAATTCTCCAAATTGGACCCTTATGAAGCCTTGTCGAGAACAAAGCCATTGTTGAAAGAAACTCATAAGAAGTCCCGTCTTCAACTTTCTCCAAGCTACTTAAAAAACACAGCAAGTATACAAAAGAAGGTGGTCGGGTCTGATGAGGCCAGAATTTATCCTTTTGGTTGACATACCAGAAATCACTCTCACTTGACAGCGATTTTGTCACTTATTGTCACAAGTGAACATCCACTTTATGTGAATGTTTTGTAACAAAATGAGAAAAAACATCAAAGAGTGGAACTACTTTTGAAAGACTATGTAGCAAATCTCATGTGATAGTCAGGTTTATACAGGTGATCAAACAAGACGGAAAATGCTTCAATAAAAGCACACAGCTTTTGATAGAGTAAAATAGGGTAAACACTGCAAGGAAGACAAAAAAATTACCCCCCAAAACAAATTCCCTAAATTGAGCATTTTTCTGTGTTTTTCAACAGGGAACCACCTTTAGTGCAGGCCATCAATTTCACAGTGTTCATCAGGAACTCCATTCACTTCCCCAAATTTAAAGTGTTGAGGTAAAGAGCCTTCAAACAGATTTCTTTTTTTTTTTTAAACTCTGAACTTAAAAACTCTGGTCATTTGTGCCACAGTTGCTTATTGTAAACATGTTCTTTGCTTGCAGGGTAAATGTAGAAAGTCCTCCAGGGATGAAAACAAAAAAATACCTCAAGAGGTGTCACTATCATGAGGAGACTGCGCCTTACTGCCCAAACTTTCGCCTGGGTTACATCGCCAATAAAGCAAGGGAGAATTTCACTGAACTCTGCAGGACTGTGAGTATGAGATTGCACTTCAGAATTAGTCAATGGCTGCCATTATGAAGGTTCATTATGTCATTTATTAAATGCTTACGTCTTTAGTTTAATTCATAAAAATGGTAATTTAAAAAAAGGCTTTTTCACAGAGTATTTCATAAAAGTATCCAAGAGTAATTAGTCACTTTTACCCAAAACTTTATTTCTGGACTAATTTGCATTGGTTTCTTTGTACATGTCGATTACTTGGTGTGTAACTAACATCTGGTGTAAAGAAATCAGAAGAAATCTTGAAGATATACTTATTGACTAAAACATTGACATGTTCCACACTGATTTTAGCCACTTTATTTAAAGTTTCTTCCAGTAGGTTTTTACAAAGTTGCATTTTATCTTTTCAGTTTCTTTCTTTTTCTTACTTGTTAAATCTTCCACTTTTGTCCATGTTTCTTTTGTAAGCTAAAAAGGTGAGAACAGCAAACATAGTGAAGTAAGTCGTCTTTCTTGTAGTGTAACAGAATCATTCTCTTTGCTGTCAGGGGGGAGTGATTGGCGTTTTCATCAACTGGGATTGTAATCTTGATCTGGATCCTTCACACTGTAAACCTACGTACACATTTCGCCGACTTGACCTTCGGAAGGATCTGGCCGACTCCGGTTACTACTACAGGTCTGCAAAAACTCTGCATTCACTGACCAAGTTCGTGGTTATAGTCTTAACTTTGCCAAAGAATAAGTTTAATTATTTTTAAGGACATGTTTTGCTACCCAGGTTTGCCAAATATTATGATAAGAACGGCGTGGAGTCTCGGACCCTCATCAAGGCTTACGGCATCCGTCTAGACATCATAGTCCACGGACAGGTACAACAGACATTTCTTTAAATATTACCATTTTTCCCCTTCCTGCTGTGATCATAACCATTTTATTACTGCTTACAAAACTTCTGCACAGGCTGGGAAATTTAGTGTCATTCCAACCATCATCAGCACAGTGACAGCTTTGACCTCTGTTGGGATTGTAAGTGCAGTCAAAAACCAAGATTTTGTTTACATAACAGATTTAAATTGTTTTTTTTTTTTGTTTTTTTTTTACTAAAACTAAAACATTTTCTAAAATTTATTCTAATATAAGTTGTAACTATATTACTTTATTTTACATTTAATTAAGTCAGACTTTTGATTCCGTTACGTGAATTTTGTTTGAATATTTGTGAATATTTCTTGAGTTGGAAATTATCACAAATATGTAATTTACAACTGCTACCACTATGTTATTTATGTTTTCATCATTTTCTTTCGTTTCTCTACAGTGCAGTATTATCTGTGACTGGATCATGCTTACATTTATTGACAAAAATGAAGTCTACAGCGAGAGAAAGTTTGATGAAGTGAGTAAAAAGGTAAGTACTATTTTTATGTACTAAACAGTCTTAATGTTTCACAAAATGAGCTAAAAAAAAGCTTCAATGAATTCTTACTGTTTCAATAAATTAATTCTAAATATGTACTTGGATACTTATTTTTGTAGGATATTTTATTTTCTGTGTTTACCCTCATTAATTTTTTTTTGCTCTCCCAATAAACCCAGTTCAACCTCAGAAACCTTTATGGCAACCTGCAAAATGGCTCTTTTAAAGAGTAACTGAACTGCAGATTAATATTTTCCAAATACGTCTGAGTGATGTCGGTGGCATTTGGTGGTTCTTTGCAGGTGACCAAGGAACCCACAGACACCATTCGCACTGAGTTCAGCTTCATCAGCAGCTACGGCTCAAACCATTCAGACCTGTCGGACGGCGTTCCTCTCTGATGGATCAGATTTGCTTAAACTCTCTTTCTCCAACCTAATCACGGCAACAACAGCATCCTAGTTTGGTGGCTAAAGTGTCTACAGCAGCTCACAGATAGAATAGCAAAGCACTAATGCAAAAGTATTCATACTCACTAAAACTTTTGGTCCCTTTGTGACATTGCAACCACAAACTCTTATATATTTTAATCGGATTTCATAGATAGACCAGCATAGACTATTCGACAAGTGTGAAGTGGAAGAATAATGATACGTGATTTCTGTTTTATACATAGGCGAAGTTAGAAAGCGCGGCATGCATTTGCACTTTTTGAGTCCATACTTGGTCACTACCAGTATGAGACTTACATTTTGGTACGTTGTATGTTTATGGTTGTTGTTCTGCTGGAAGGGGGAACTCTGGCACAGTGTCTAGGTCATTAAAGCTTTGTCTATAACTGCACCATATCTAGCTCCATCCATTGTCCCTTTAACTTAGACCAGCTCCTCTGTCCCTGCTGAAGAAAATCACCTGTACAAAATGATGTTGTGATTGCTAATGTTTCAGCAGTGAGGATGGCATGTTCAGGAGTTTGTCTCAACACCACTCAGCACTTTGCATGTCATACAAAACGTTCAGTACTGGTCATTCTTCCATGTCTTTGCTGTATCTGCTACCTGGCTGGTGGTAAACTTTGGACGGTTATTATGTTTTAGATTGATTGAACAGTGCTCCATGACAAGCTCACAGGTTGGAATAAAGTTTTCTAGCTGCTTTAAACTGTTCTGTAACTTCATTTCTAACCTGTCCTCTGTGTGCCTTGGTCTTCATGATGCTGTTTGTTCTCTAATAAGCCTCTGAGGCCTTCATGGAACAGCTGGATTAACACTGAGATTAAATATGCACATATTTGGACAATAAGGTCTCCTCTTGGACGAGTAGATTTTATTTACAAATCTTAGTTTAAAGAGACCAGCATAACATACATCCCTGTCAGATTTTCTTTCTTTAAGAAAAAGATCAAAAACCGTGTATCATTTTCCTTCCACTTCAAGTTTAGCCGCAAAAGCCAGTGTTGCTCTTTCATTTTACATCTGAATAAAGTACGTTCAGTTTTGTAATAGTAACGTGACAAATTCGCAAAGGTTTAAACTGTATGAAAACTTTTGGAGGTATTAAGAAGAGGACCACATCCTGATGATCTTATACTTCTTTGAGACCCCCAGTGTGGTTCTCAGTAAAATTGCTTCACATGGTATGTGCACAGATCAACTCAAGACTTATTGAACTTTCACCTGTTCGCCACCTGAATGAAACCTGCCCTCCTTTGCCTTCAGCAAACAAGTATACTCACCTGTAGAGATGTTTTTTCCCTCAGAATACTGATACTTTCAAAGTAGATAAATAGACTGGAAACAATTAGCAAACAATGGAAACTGTTCCCATGTATCTCAATCATTCAGTCCAATGATTAAGAAATAAATATTTTCAAAACTCATTGTTCAGACATAAGCATACATGATTAAACACATCTGTTGTTTAAAAATCGGATTTCTTACTTTATGTGCTTCACTTTATGTCGTCTTTTACCCTGAATGACAAATGGTGCAGAGTTGAAAACGGTGCTGGATAACAAAGTACTGAAGGAAAGTGCGAGGAGCCACGTGAAGACAGAAGAAACCAGTAATCAAATTAAATCTGCATTTCCCACAAAACGATTTCTCTAACTAGATTGTTGGAAACTGAATCCATCTGCACTCGGAAGAGCAGAACAAATGTCAGCGGTGAAACAAGACTCGAGAACCTAGGGCTTCCAGATCAATATCCGCCATGAACGATGTAATAACGGTAACCACATGTTGGTTTGAAAACTATGTAGTCACAATGTAAAATGTAAGACATTTAAAGTTAATTTAATCTCAAACTGGGTATAGGTTCGACATACATTGGAGCAAAGAATCAAAATCCAACGAAACGACTCAGATGAGCTTCCTTATGCCTCATTTTACAAGTGCAGGTGTCAAGAAGATCCTCTGAGGAAACAATCTAATTTTGACTCAGCTTATCGTCTTCAATGTGATTACGTGAATGGGAGACAGCCATCAGCAGACAAAGTGACTCAGCTGTTAAATCTAAGTGTGTGGGTTAAAACCATCATGATCCACACTGACAGCATATCGATAACCACATGTTGTTCTCTCCAGTGAATAGATAAAAAAAAAAATATGATTGTGATTTAGATTCTCTTATTTTATTGGAGAATTAAGACTATTTTCCCCACAGATTTTCAATATCAAATCTCTTGTTTTTGCTCATTTAGCATCAAAAGGTGCATTTACCTTTTTCGGGGAGCAGATTAGTTTCAGAATCGTTCCATTCCCACTGCATATTCCAGGGTAAAAACAAATGACCAAGGTAGTAATGAATAAACCTGGTAATATTTTTGGTATCAGCCTGCATCTTCAGCGTAGAGATGTAGGGAGTCTGACGCACTTCTGTTTAGGTAAATATCATAAAAAATGCCCTCTCCAATGGGAATTTTAATAACTTCCTCCACATATATTCAAGTATTCATCATGAACAATTCCACTGAAAAAGAAGCAAACCTTGAATAAATGAGCACCACCTGGTGAAATTTTGTTCGAGTACCCTGTGATTCAATTTTGACCTGATACTTTCGTTGGGAGTTCATCGGCATTCTGCATTTTGTTACACTTTGAAAAAACTTCTCAAATACCTTTAGTATTTGTGGCGAAATATTTATTTTTCGTTTCATCAAACCAAATCACATTCTCCCAAAATCTTTGTGTTCTACTTGTACTCTGCACAGAAACATGAATCACCTTAATAACAACAGCATTGAGGATTTAAACTCTATCACAGTATCAAGAACTCATACAGACGTAAATGAGTTTAAGCGGAGACAATCGTTTCATGGGGGTAAATTTCTAAAATGAAAATATTGTTTTACTTCAGTAGTTTTATTGGATATTTTTTCTGGCCCCAGATTAACTATCCTGCTTACTGGACAAGATTCTTTCAGTTCAAACATGCCTGTAGTTTTGGTTTTAAACCACAAAACTTTTGAGATCAATTATCTGATTCATTTTGGGTAGAACACAATTTCACAGCATCCCTGTTCTGAGGCACAGAAAACGTAGAAGCCGAGGCACGTTGTTGTGTTCAACGCTCTTTTCACACACCTCTGTATTGTTTTAGCTCTATTAAACATTTCCTCAGAAGTCTGCGTTCGTTTTATTTCACGGAGTAACTCCTGATAAAAACAAACACAAATTCCACTTTTAGTTTTTGTTTTTCTCCCAAACATACACACTCAAAGTTTGATGTGGATGAACCAAAAGCAGACATGACGATCCTTTAAAAAGTTACAATTTAAAACACTAATCTTTCGCTATATTTTGGTTCTGATACGATGTTACTTTAAGTAAATCTGTTAAAAGACCAACAAAGGAATATTAACGGAGAATTTGAAAGTGCTGGTGCGTGTTTAAATCCACACACACAATTTAATTTTTGGTTTTGAGTGGTTAGAGTGTAGAAGTCTTAAAATAAGCATAAAGCAAAAAGGAATAGCAGAAGTGAAAATACAAAAGTTAACTCAGCAGATGGTGCTTGGAAAGATTGCAAGCTCTTCATTCTTGGAACTCAAGTAAAAAGCAGAGAAAGACTGCAGACAATTCAAACATTCAAGCATTATTTATTTTCTGACAATCTGAGATTCATACAAATATATAAATTCAACTGGGAAGTAGACAAGAATTTAACCCTATTTACACTCCACCTGCTTCTCCCTGCTAGCAAATAGTCCTTATGATTATTGATTATGGGATCAATAATCACAAAACCTGATTTGACAGCTGCTGAGCTGCACTGGTTTCAGCTCTCAGTGTTAAACTGAGGAAGGAATCGTCGCTCTGCGTCCCGTTTCAGTGCCTGCTCTGGCTGATCTGAGGGCTCATCTCAAGCAGCCAGTCGATGGTCTCCTCCAGGAATCTCATGTTGTAGTGGGAGGCTATGTTTCGAAACACTGCCGTCTGCTCGGAGAAGCTCTTTAAAAGGAAAAAAGGTCAGCGTCAATAGGACTCATTGTACCACTCGGAACTGATTCAAATTGTTAAACATGTCTGAGATCGGAAACCTTGGCTGAGAAGGTGAGGTCAAAGTTTCCGGCACACGCACAGTAAAGGGGCATGTTGGCTTCTTTCACCCCTTTGCATTTGGTGCAGACCTAAAAATCACATTTATGTTGTCAAAACGATTCAAGTGAGAAATGAGTCAAACACGCAGACGCTTTACTGGCTCAACAGTTTGGGGAGCATGAGTACTTTGATAAGACAGACAGATATTTTATCTGTCCCCAGGATAACCTTTTATTCAAATTGATTATTAAGGAATAATATTTATATTACCAAGAATATAATCATAAAAAACCAATAAAAACAGCTTCTAAAATACAACATAAAAAATAGTTTTATACAAAAAAAAAGGTCTAGTCGGAGTTGAGCCGAGGCTGCTTGATTTGGCATGTTTTACTCACCAGATCCTGCAGAGTGTAGCTCATAAGTTTCTTCTGCAGAGCATCCACCAGGGCCGTCTCAATAGACTGAGTTTCATATTGCATTTGGCAATTTGAGCAGAACCATTGAGGTAAGACCGACCCATCCTAAGACCAGAACAAAGTTCTTCCAGATATTAGCCTCCCCAGCTGCAAATGTTATTACAAATCTGTAATTTACCAGTGTGACAGGCACTACGTACCTGTGCCACAGTCGGGTCCTTGCAGAGGTCGAGGTCCCGACAGAAGTTGCAGTGGTGACAGATGATTTCTGGCAGTATGTAGGAGTTGCAAGGGTCACGAAACTGGGCCTCCTCCGAAAACTCTCCGACATCCACGAGACGCAGGAGGTCTCGCTTCAGTTTGTTCACCTGATTCATGATGTTGGCATCAAGCGAAAGGACCTGAAGATGTAAAAGGCAGAGAAGAAGGTCAATAAATGGGTCATCGGTTGTATTTCTAATTATTCAGTAATAAATGAGAGCAAAGCTCCCTCAGATTTTCTGTTTGAAAATTTCTGTTTTCAGCCTTGATTTTTCAAGTTTTTTTGTTGTTAGTTTTCAAATCATTCTGGATATTTTAGTATGATATGGGTAGGGAAGTATTTCAAAAGGGTATTGTACTGCTTTTCTGGCATCTAAACTCAATCAGGTCATTTTAATAATTGAAACACAATATAAAATCTGGACTTGATAATCAGATTGTAATCATTGACACTTATTTTGTTTATTTAAAAAAAAGTGAGTTTGCAGGAATTACAGCAAAAATTAAAAAATGGTCTTCAGAATAAAATACCATGCGAAACTGACTTTAGTTTTATTTAACATTTTCTTTGGAAAATCTCCACAGAAAACTAAAACACTAAAATAAGAGTTTTAGTTTGGCACACAAAGGTAAAAGCAAACTATGTAAATAAAATAACATGTAAAAAAAATCTTCTCATTTTTAAGAAGTGCACAATTCTTATGTCTTAGACCATGAAAAATAAAATGGGACAAAAAAAAATAAAAAAATCCTACTCAGTGACATCGTGGTACTCAGCCCACCTGACAGACGTATTTGACGAACTCCAGCGCCGGATTGTTGAGCGGCAGATGGGAGCCGGGCAGGACAGGAAACATCTCTGAGCTCTGGGTTACACTCCTGGTCCCGGTCACCTTTTTCTGGATCTTCTGGGTGATGGTGAAAATGTTCTGCGTCAGCTCGCTGGCCACATACTCCTGGGAGAAGGAGATCATTCCTGAAGGAAAGGAAATGAGGCATCTTGAGAAATTAATTAATCGAGTCTTTAGTAACTGAAGCTGCCTCCTGAACGGACTCTTACCAGGAAGCGCACTCAAGTCCCCGACTGCCTGCTGGGAAGCCTGGCTGCCTGCGCGCCGCTTGACTGGCGTTGCTCCAGGAGCATTACGTCTCAGCTCCTCTTTCATGCTGTGGTAAACTGCAGCTATGTAGGCTGGGGTGGGAAAGGGAGAATTGCTAAAATAGATTAAAAGTTCAAGAGGGAACACGCTTATATGCGCAGACGTTTGTTTTCGTTTTACCAGACACAATCATGAGGAAGTATTTCTGACAGGAGGCTGTTTGGGGGAGATAATGCATGACATTCCAGTTGCTCTCAATCAGCTCTTCAACCTCGTCGGTCTCTGCATCGCCATCATCTTCCTCAGCATCATCCTCATCTTCATCTTCACTGCCCTCTTCATCTTCCTCTCCTTGTTTTCTTTTCTTCTGTTTGGCTCCTTCCTAAAAAAAAATAAAAATAATAAAAAACAACACATCATTGTTAACCATGTCAAAGATCATGACCTTAAAGCTCATGAAG